GCAATCAGCAATCAGCAATCTGAAAAGGAAAGTTGGTCGGTACTCAACCAACTTAGCTAAGGCACTTATAGTTTAAGAATCAATGGGATCAACATTCTTATTGAGTTACTCAATGATCATAAATTTAAAATTCAAACTGTCATATCTTATTGAGTTACTCAATGATTATAAATTTAAAATTCAAACCGTGATATCTTATTGAGTTACTCAATGAGCATTATTTTAGTTCAAAATAGTTGCTCAAAGTCACATATTCAAACAGCCCCAGTATTGTAGCAGTTAGAGGTGGCATTTATTGTTTGTCATACGCGGGGCTTGTTACTAATTAGCATTTAGAAAGTAAAAGCATCGAAATTTAGGCACTTCTAAGAAGCATTCTCAAACTTAAGTGATTGTACACAAATGGCCTCACCAATCTCACTTCACTCAGAAGACTAGGAATACACACATATTGGAGAGCCCAATTAAAAAAAACATGAATTTATTCAAAATCGAAGATTACCCACATAAATGCATAAAATATAAGAATACATGAGATGAAAAGAAGCACTACCTTTGACGAAGGAGATGTTGAGTTCACGTAAGGGGATGATGAGGACAGTGCGGGAGAGATCAGAGCCAGGAGCGAAGTGCAAAGAACCAGCATGGTGGTTGAGGTTGGCGAGTCGAGATCCGAAAGGAGCACCGGAGATGTCGTACTGGATCAGCCGATACACGTCGACGACTGTGGCGGCATCGCAGAGCTCAACGCAGGCGACGAGGATGAATACGAGAGCAATCATCGAGTACATCGACTCCAGCACTTGGCGCTCTCCGCCAGGCTTCGCTTGGACCATGGCCGTTATCCGATTGCGATCTATTCTCTCTGGTCTCTAGGGTTTTGGGATCGGAGGAACCAAAGAGAGAGAGAGAGAGAGAGAGAGAGAGAGCGATGTAAATTATAAATGAAAGAAATCAGAAGCAGGCTGCTGCTGTTGTCACGTTGTGTGATTGTGTTTCTGGTGGGAGGAGTGATAGTTTAGTGCGGGCTGACTCTCACTCAAGTCCCCCTAGCTAATTTGATTTTAGATTGGATTGGTTCCCTTCGTTCTTCTTTTCTTTAAGAATAAATTGGATTGGTTTTTCAGTTCCATTTGAGCATGTTTAATTAGGGGAAGTCATGAATAGGAAATTAAGAATTTTGCAATGAGGAATTGAAATGGGATCAACCACTCTTCTAGTTGGTATGAATCCTAATTTTGAGAGTATTTAATTATATATTTTACCATAGAATTTCCCTAATTTTTTTATTCCATATGTTTAACACATCTAAGGAATTGAATACCCATGTATTACTAAACACAAGTGAAAATGAGTAAACATGAATGGTTAGGAAAAACATATTTTTGTAAGTTAACTAAAAAAAACAATAAACCCCAACGAGGTCTTAAAAAGGGTCTTGGCTTCCAATTCATGCAACTATCAATAATGAATTTATTTTGATCCTTTCAAGTTTCATTTTTGGGAGATCAAAGACGAGTTGATATTGATACTCCAAAAAAGTCATTATACACTCCTTCGAGTAGAATTTATCTCTTATATTTTTATAATAGGAGAGTGCGGGACGCCTATTTGAAACTTTAACAGTTTTTTATTATTTTATTTATCATTTTGTATTGATTAGACGATTATGACTAGGATTGGGCATTCAGATCGGTAACTAGGTCAAACCGCCCAAACCAAACCGATGGTTAGGGTTGGTTTGGTTTTTTTTCAACTTTTTTTTTTATCATCGGTTTGAACCCAAACCAAATCGAAATATATGATTCGATGTACGGTTTGCAATATTCAAAACCATGGTTTAACCAAACCAAACCGATGGTATTAAAAAAATATTATTATTAGAAATATATATATAATTTTAAAAAAAAAACTAGCTTTTGTTGTTGGGCATGCCAACACACATGCCTAATTGAATTTTTTTTTTTAAAAAAAAAACCTCAACACACGCATGCATCTTGTCTTCTCTCTTATTTTTTTCTTTTTTCTTTTTCTTCTCTCTCCATCTCTCCCTCTATCTTATCTCCATCAATCCCTCTCTTTATTTTTTTTTTCTCCTTCTTCTTATGTCTGTCTTCACTCCCTCTCCCCGTCTCCCTTTTCTTTCTTCTTCTCCCTCTTCTTCTTCTTCTTCTCTCTCTCTCTCTCTCTCTCTCTCTCTTCTTCTTCTTCTTCTTCTTCTTCTTCTTCTCCATCTCTCCCTCTCTTTTTTTCTTCTTCTCCTCTTCATCTCTCCCTCTCTTCGTTACTTTTATTTCTTCTTCTCTCTCTCTCTCTCTCTCTCTCTCTCTCTCTCTCTCTCTCTCTCTCTCAGAAAGACAAAAAACCCAAACCGAACCAAACCAACCCACCAAGTCCGATTAACCGAAGTAGTTGGTTTTGATCAATTATGGTTTGGTTCCGATTTCCAAAATAGCCAAATCAAGGCCTATGGTTCGGTGTTCGGATTGAGTCCAAAACCGAACCAACTCAGACCAAGCCCACCACTAGTTCTGACTTGAGGCCATAAATATACTGTATATCTATTGGCATTACATTGTAACCATATATAACCAATAATGTTATCTCAATCACTCAATGGTTTAATCAACTAAGGATGGTGTTGTTGTATTGACTTCAATGTTAAATTATCTTTGATTTGTTAGATCGAAGTAAATGTGTATACAAATGTATTTAGGTCTGTTGTCCATTGTTGAAGGACCAAGCAAGCAAAATTTTTAAGGCGTGCTTTGAGTGACCAAGCAAGTCAACATTGCTCTATTAAAAGGAGGAAGTGAAAGGATAATTAGAGTAATACAAATGTGGTGATGACTGAAGTCTTGTTCGATCTAAAGTAGAATATTCTCTATTATGTTGATGCCAAAAATAGGTTCAATGATCAGATCAACCTGTCGAGATTGAGATCAAGCAATCCTTCCAAACTAACTTAGCATGACCAAGCATCCTCCAGAACAAGTTTTAGTGCTTAGGGATTGCAATTTGTACGTAGAGATTGAATGAGAACATACAATCAAGCAACACGAGAGGTTTAGGTGATTCACCCTTAATTAGGTTACGTCCACGAGACTGTTTGGTGTTTTCACTATTGAATAAAGAAAGAACAAAGTACAAAGTATTTAATCCTCACAATTCATATCCTAGTTAAGAAATAATATTGAGACATCTCAAGAAATGTGAAATTGATGTCGTAGGGTTGAGTTGCCCTTTCATATGATCCCTCTTGGGTTGGAGAGTCACCTTTATATAGTAGATGGAGATGACCTAGTCTTTGACTTGGCAAATGGTTCGTTTTTAACACGACCCGTTAAGTTAACAGGTCAGAAATACCAGGTCCAAACATGACCAGCACAAATTCGCGAATAACATGACACGACCCATTATGGCTAATGGGTCGTTTTTCACCCGCTTAACCCGTTTCACCCATTTAAATAATATCTTTTAACAAATTATTAAATAAAAATACCTCAAATTAGAGAAATAATAAAAATAAAGTTGAAATCCTTAAATAAGTTTTACACATTACGTACATTGGCAAACAAAAAAACTCTTAGACAATGTGAGTTTCAAATTAATCTCAATTTAAACAAGTTTTAAATAAAATGTTAAGGAGAAAAGGAATAAGTCTAGAGCCTCCTCCATGAACATAATCTCAAAACTTCAATCCTCCATGAACATAATCTCAAAATTGCCATTTTCACCAACTGTGCAAATCTCACTATAAGGAAAAAAAAAAAAACACAACAGACATGGTCAAGAAACTTCCAAAAATAAGTTCAAATGTTATCTTCACATGAAAGCCGTGGATCTTCAAGTCGAGGAAATCAAGAGAAAAATCAAAATGGAATGGATCTTCAGAAAAAGACCAAATGACTTGAGATTTTCATACCTTTTGGTTGGAGAAGAGGAAAGGTCGTGGATTGTTTAGTTTGGATCTAGAGAGAAAGAGAGAGCTTTTGTTTAGATCTCTTGAGAGAAAGACAGATAGAGTGAGTGGCAGCGTGAGGGAGAGGGAATAACAAAAGCTAGGTTATTTTAGAATGTAAAATTAAAAAATGCCTTGCTCTTAACGAGTTAACGGGTGATTCACGAATGATACTTACACAACCCATTAGCTTAACAGGTGACTAACGGGTCCATCTGTTTTCAACCCGACTCATTAAGCTCAACCCAAATACTGTTATTTTCGTGCGAATTTGTATCATGTTATTGGATTGTGTCCGATATTGCCGGGTCTCTTTGTATCAAGTTTTGCAGCAATGGTCTTCCCCTTCATGCAGCTTGGCTTTGAGTTTGAGGAACAAAGTTTAATCTTTTACGCGACCATCTTTACCACCATCATAGTTTCCAAGCATTGTAAATTGAAGTCTTTATATTTTGTGATAAAATTATTCACTAATATAAATTTGCTAAGTTGTAGTCGCTTTGAAACGCTAACGGTACCTAAGACTTATGCACCAAAAAGATGGCAAAAACAGTTTGTATGATAGCAGGCCCACACCAGGTTCGAATTTTGTGTTTGTTTGGGCCTCTCCCTGGTTTTGGTTGTGGGTGCTTGTCTTTTAACTTTAGGCTGAAATATGTTGTTTGTTTATTGATGAGCTCAGTAAGTGTGGATTGTGAAATGTTGTAAATACATGAGCCATGTTTTGCTTGATGAAAAATTAAACGAAGTATCTGCCTTGTGTTATAAGCCACACTCAACTGCTCCTTAATACGTTTCCATGAATTAAATGCAAAGCTCTCATTTTAAGTTTCACAAACATTGCCTTCCTCTCTTCGGCCATGTGTTTCAACTCAAAATAGTTTTCCAAACTGGCTTTAGCTTCCCAATGCAAATAATCTTCTGCATGCACCTTCCAAGGGCATGAACAACTTCCAAGTTTTCCTCCAACATTAAAAGTTCAACCTCTATTTCAGTCCTCCATTCATACTAATTTATGTCCCAGCATATCATTAAAGGGGTTCTTCTCGCCTAAATCAAGTGCCAGTGACTAGGTTTCGATCATACCATCTTTGTCCTCTCTGTACGTTGGGCTCGATTTCCACTGCCAACATCTCTACCTTGTCCAACCTTGAATTTCCAGGGCATGGGTGGCCCAAAACAACTCTATTATATACGAAGACTTGTACATGGTACTCGAACAAAGGTTACGACAACCCAGCATTCTAGTTGTTGATTACACGAATAATGTTTTCATCATAGCCCTTCAGAATACTTAACTCACATGACAGGCACATCACCTATTTAAAATAACTAAGAGCATAACCAGTAGACCAGCAAGGCCTCAGCAAGCCTCGAGTACGCTCCTGCGTCACTTTGAAAGAAGATCACACTACAGGAATGAAGATCAGAGCGGATCTTCAGAACAAAATTACCAATCTTTTAAAATGGTCAACTATGTTTTACAGCAGCCAATTTGTTGTAAACTGTAAAATAGGTTTTAGGCCACCTGCCTTAGGATAAACTCATTAACCATGAACCACTACCTTTTGAACAGATCTTGCTAGATAAGGTAGCTACTAGTATAACTTTCAGAAACTAACCTGAACCAATCAATCAAACAGGCATCAGCTCAGACCACATTACTTCATTTCAATCTTGAGGATGCTTCTCTTGTTTGACTATACATTCATGCAGGATATAATACAGGTACTGACGAAGGAAAGCTAATTTTGTAACCTTAAGGGGCAAAATTTCTGGGAGGCATCTGACTCTGCTTGTTAAATTATGAACAATGCAAAAGATCAAATGTTTCAGTCACTTCGAGCCTTCTTCATTTTCTGGAAAGATAAACTGTAAGTCTTCATTATCTCTATAAACTTGATAAAGAGCAGCAGCTTTATAGACAAACATCCCAAGCATAGCTGGCACAAGCTGTGAAGAAGAAGCATTCGTGTAAACAAGAAGAAAATAAACTTTCACCAGTATGAGTTCTTCAGCCTTTCTATGGATGGTCAAGTACATGGTTTCAGAAAAGAGTTTCCTGACACAAGAATAGCTTCAAGGTTTACCTGGAAATCAAAGAGATCGCTGGCAAAATATTGATGAGACAGAATCCACAATCCATATATTGCTGCTGGTATTACAAGCCTTGGAGATGAAAGAGCAATACCACAGCCCTTTATCGACTTCTCTAGAAAATCCTCAACATCCTCGCTTCTTATTCCAATTCTGGATGAGAGGATGAATTTATGTTTGAGCAAACCAAGCGCAAGGAATATTTAACAAAAAGAATAAGACCAACTACTAAAAGAAAGAATACAAAGTTGTTTCTGGTTGTACTTCTTGGTCTTCCTCTGCCTGAAAATTTGAGGGACTGCATCTCTGGATATATTGTCTGCTTGCTGGTACAAGAGTTTAAGGTACAAACAACTGCATTGAGAATGATATAGGCTATAAGTTCTTCAAGACAATCAAAAACATAAGGAGCTGCATTAACAACTCATTCAAGCTGAACATGTCTTCTTAGGGAAAGTATTTACCAATTCTTTCTCACACTTTTCATGAAAAATAAATGTAAAAATAACAGCACACCTTAAATAACTTTCCTTCCATTATTTTAATCAAGATTTTTGAAATATTATCATGCCATAAAGCTGAACCAATAACCCAAAGCATAATAGAAAAGGCATAAGTGTTGGTAAATTGTCATAGACTCAGTAAAACAAGAATTATGTCTAGATTATCGGCATAAACTATTGCTTTAGAGAAATAATCTCAACTTAATAAGATGTATCAACAAACCTGAAAATAACTCCCGTAGCATAACTGACAGCAGCCTGTGCGGTAGACTTGCAAGTCAGTACTCCAAAACAGAAACATATACTACATTCACCAACTTCTAGTTTAACATAAAAGTGAATGAAGGTAACGAGCTAATGTGGAGAAATAAGTTACGAGACTAGAAAAATTCACAAATACTTGGGTCAGCACCATTATTGTGATATCTCAGAAAGTAATTAATATTCATTCTTTTCATCAACTAAACAGAGCACTCCTACCAGAATTGATGAAAGTCTTTCCTAAGCATGGTGGCAACAATAAAACTACATTTAAAGCTCAGTGTGTTTTTTCTTGAAAGGTATACCTGGAATGATAATGCTATTAAACAATACCCAGTACATGCGGTTCCAATACCAATAGATAATAGCATTAGTTCCCTCTGTAGCTGCAGGAAAGGACAGAGATTCATCACTCATTTTGTAAGACACCAAAAAGCAAGCCACACCATGTTAACTGCAAACCAGCAAAAACATATATGTATATCTGTATATTAATAATATATATATATATATATATATATATATATATATTACAAAAAAAAATCCCTAATTCCCTTCCTTTCTTGATCTGTTACGTATACCCAATCTCTCCCTCTCTCTATCCCCAAAGATGCCCATCATCCTTCATCCTCCCTCTGCAACCAATCACCACCCCACATCATCCATAAGCATCCAACCACAAGCCATAAATTTAAACCTCAAATCAATAACACAACACAACATCCAGATCGGAAGTTGTTTGATCATCTAATGGCTAAAAAACGTAATTTTTTAGATAAAGCTAAAACAAAAAAGTGGATAATCAAATGGCTAAATAATTTTAGATTTATCATAGGGATGAAGATAAAATGCAATAGGGAAATGTATTATGGCAAACATCATGAAAGCATACTCAATAGTTAACCTAAAGTAAAAGTATAGGGACTAATATTAACTAAACTAGCGATATATCTCTATGTAGGCTTTACATAGAACACGATATGTCTGATTATAATACTTAAAGTAATGCGTCCTCACGTTGCTGATGCATTTCGGACAAAAAAGCATTTACTCTACTAGAATATTCAAACTAACAAATAACAGTTGATTTTTCAACCATACAGATTGCTTTAGGCTACAAAAGGCTTAAGGACTCAAGAATTGATAGTTTAATTTGATATTAGATTGAACACATAAAAGCTTAAATTTGATAGAGCAATCTATTGAGATCACAAATAGATAAAGATTAATCATATAGATAGCTAGCTAATAGCATTTATGATTTAACAATAAGGTAAATCTATTTGTATCCCTTAACTTGCTCGACACACACTCAGAATTCATAGTACCCATTTTAACATTTTCATTTAATTTTAACAAGAAGAAGAAAAAAATGTGGCCACCCTTCCCCTCCACTACCAAACACCATGGCTAGAATCCTTGCACCACAGCCAGAGGCTATGTCTGTGTGCCATGGCCAGAGAGGGGAGGCAAATCATTTTTTTTCTTTTAAATTTTGAGTTTTAAAAATATGATAAAATGAGAAATAATAGCAGCCTAACAATAATGCTGATATAATTTTGAGCCCATAACATCTACTTGATTGATCAGTATAAATGGAAGACATGAACTTAGAATTTATTCAAAGAGATGGTGAACATATACATTAGTTGATGTGCAAACACTGACTTCTATGTATTTGCATATATATATGGCTTGCCTCTTATAAGGACGTCCACTATGTATATAGTGGAACGAATATAGACATAACCCACACTGACTTGCACAAAATACCAAGGAACATACTGGGTTCAAGTATCATACAGCTTCATATTGAAGAAGGTTGAGTTTCTTTCTTCTTTCACTGTCATTCTGCAAGGCCTGTTAAGACAAGTAAAGTATGAACAGATAAAAATATCAAATCTTCCCTTGTAAAGGTACCATTTTGATTGAACAAATTTTGCAATTATCTTCCCTTTTCTCTTCCTTTTTTTTTTGGTCACAATGGAAGTGTCGAAAGCAAGCATAAGAGAAAAATTAGAATGTTAGGATAATCAATTAAAGCATACCTTAGCAATGGCTTTTTTATTTATTGGTGCAGATACGTCACCTAGTACCCATTCATTTGTTCTTGACAATTTCAAAAACCCACCAGCGTCATTTTCTGCAACCTAAAAAAGTACATCCATTAAAAATCAGAAAAAGAAAGTGAACACATTTGATTACTTGCCATTTTAAATTTGAAACAAACAAATACAATGTGATTTAGCACTTGGATATAGTAATGCTTGCTTGAGCAGATGAAGCAAATCCATTATTTATCAGGAAAAAAATATGCAAAAAGTAAGGCCCCCCCCACCTTCATTATGTTCATCCTGTTTTCCAACTGATTCAATGATCTAAAACCCATGCTCACAAGGTTTAAGCCTCAATGATTAAAATGTGTGCACCTCTGGACTACATTAACTTTCCCTCAGGCATTCACATATAAAAACTTTTACTTTTGTAACTAAAGAAACTAAAAGCACCAGTATGAAGCTATCAAACTCAGTTAATGAAACCCTTTTGCAAGAGCCACGTACCGGAAGCTTTGAGGAAACCCATTTGCTAGGTCCACATATTGGACATAAATTTGAAACCATATTTAGAATTCAGAATTGCTATGTTTGACCAAAAAGAAAACCACTATCTTCATTGTTTGATTCATTAAATCCCAACTCAAGCATATCAACTACAAATTTGGAATTTTAACTAATCTTAAGCAGGTTGATTCATTAAATTACAGTGAAGAAAGCATGAAAGAGCTTTGTTGTCCTGTACCTGCTCTGCTTGTTGAGGAGTGTCAGCAAATCGGCCAGCATCATCAGCATCAACAACAGATTTCGTAAATTCCTTCTGCCAAAACACATCAGAAACTTTTGATACAAGGTCTCCATTCAACTGCCTTTCCTTAAAGAACGCCTGCAGAACGTCCTCTTCTGCAAGGTCACTCACTGCAATTAAAAAAAAAATTAAAAAAAAACTAAAACCCATGACATACAAAAACTGCCAAACGAAAGCGTTTCATAAGTTACATTACATATATTTGATTAAGGGGATTACCAGGAGGTGGGCTTGTTCTTAGGGCTGAGACAGATGGATTGGGAAGTAAACGATTACGGATTGGGAGAGTTCTTGGGAAGGAGAAGCACTCAACCCTGAGAAGGGTCCCCATTTTCCCTGTGACTGTGGTCTG